CCTGCATTTTGCACAGTCACACATCAGGCTGCTATTGTTTTTCACCAAGGCAGGGGCTAAAAAGACCTGACCCTTGAGTGGCCGAAAGCGGCCCTGGGATGGACCCCCTCCTGCTCCCCCTCCCCCTTCCCTCGCTTTGCATTGCCTTCTTCCACCCATCTCTTCTCTGGGTGGTGACTACAACTCAATGGCTGTGCTGCAGGGAGCAATGTGTGGCACTGGTGTATGCTTGCTCGTGTGTATAGATGTGTGAGTGTGTGTGTGGCAGTGTGTGCGTGGGGGGGGGTTGCATCTGACTCACTCAGCCACCTCAAAACTCCTGCAGTTCTGGCTGTGCCTTCCGGGGGGGGGGGGGGACATGGGCAAGGAGAGGGGAAAGCAAGAAGCCCACTGCCTTCTGTGCAAGCCAGCATCTGATTGATCCCCGTAAATAAAAGCAAGGGGGAGGAAAATTCATCTTGCTTTAAAGCCAGGGGATTGAGGCTGCCTTTCTAAAGCCCACCCGCCTTGCAGACGCCTCGACCAGCTTGTGCAATGCACTGATCAGCTGGCCCTGGTGGGGAGGCTTTTTTCCTTGGGGACGGAAGCAACCTGAAGTGGCTTGTTGGGGGAGCTGAAGGGGCGTGCATGGCGGCAGTAGCCACCACCTGCTGAATGCAACAGAGTTTCCCTGACCAGGGAGGGCTGGTGTGTGCCCGTAAGTGTATGTGTGAGTGTGTGCATGGAGGGGGGTGTCTCTCCCTTCCTCCCTCTTTTAAATTTCTGTGTCCAGCCCTGAGATACCTGTTGATTGCCTTCTCAGCTGGCACTGGCTTGCGCACACAACACACAGAGAGACAGAGAGCACCCAGTGAGCAAATAAGCAAAAAAGTGCAGGCTCCTCTAGACACGCACAGAGGCGGCAGCGGCAGCAGTGAGAGAGAGGCCAACAATGTAGTCATGGTGGTGCCAGCAGCAGCAGAGCCAGCAGCAATGGGGGGGGAGGTTGGGAGGGTCTTGCTTGCCTTTGTGGAACCCCAAGCATGCATTTGAAATGCAACGCAGGAAAGCATGAAGTACATATATTTTTCCCTTTGGGAAAGCTCCCCTCCCCGAGACAAACTCAGAGGAAGCTCAGCTCTAGAAAGCTCTTCAGTCTGTCCCCCTTTTTTGCAAGACCCATACGTTGTGGCATAGGAACTACAAATCCAGAGGGACTGAGGTCCCTCTGAGCAGCTGGTGGGGGAAGTTCTTGTCAGCGCTCTGTCTCTCTCTTTCACTCCCCCTCCCTCATCACCAAAAGAGGGGGAAGGGGAGGAGACCTTAGCCAATGGAGAGGAGGCTTGGGTTTATATCTCTCTAGTATGATCGAGGGAGCCATTAGAAAACAAGGTGCGAAGCAGTAGCAGCCCCGCAGAAGGAAGTGGGAGAGAAGTCAGCTGCTTGCGGGCCAGATATGAGCCCTGCAGGGGCAGGTTCTGGCTCACAGGCCGTATGTTTGACACCCCTGATATAGTGGCTAAAATGCTGAGCGATGCAAGATTAAGTCCCTATTTAGTCATGTAGTTTGCTGAGTGTTCCTGAGAGAGTTACTGAGTAACTCTAAACGCCTTGAAAATACTGGTAGGACTAAAATGTAATAAATACATAAATCTTATTTATTTCAACTGAAGAATAGGACCATCATGTTTAATCTTACATATTATTTTGCTAGTATAAGCATAGATCCCAATGCAGCATGATGGTTAGAATGTCAGACTAGGATTTGGAAGACCCAGGTTTGAATCTTATTGGGTGACCTTGGGCTAGTAACATAATCTCAGCCTAACCTACCAAACAAGACTGTTGTGAAGATAAAATGGAGGAGAAGAGAACAGTGTAAGCCATTTTGGCTACAGTTATGATGAAGAGTTAAAAATATTTCTGGGACAGGATACATTGTACATATTACAAATCTGATGTCATATGAATGCAAATTTTACTTTGTTTTGGTGTTTTGTTACACATCATTTTGAAATATTATCAAAACTATCCACTTAAATAAGTGAACCACATTGGTAGGAAAAAAAGGCACCAGGAATAAGTAATATTTCTTTCCTCTGTTGTTAGGTTAAAGTCCTATATCTAGACAGGGTTAGTATCACTTATCTGCTTTATTAGCTACATCCTACTAACAGCAGAAAGAGGACATAAACTCCAATCCCTCCATGAGCTTTTGTGCATGTTTGACTTACTCCTGATTTTCTTGGGAGTTGATCCACAAGCACTGGAATTGGCCTGGGCAGTGTTCTTCAACATGTCTGCCCTCCCTCTGCATTTTCACAGATGTGGCATTTATTTTCTTCCATATGTGGGTTAATTCAAGGGAGGGTGGTGTCATCAGTGGTGCCAGAGTGCCCCCCCCCAAATGGCACTAAAATACCAATATATCACTGGAGCATTGTAACAATAGAGAGGCTCTCCAAATTCCCAGCTTTTATTTTTTTAAAGTCTCTAGACATCTTTCTTGCAGAGATATGCCTTTTTCCTTATATATCCACAAGGGAATGGGCTAGAAACTTACTTTGTTTTTAAATGAAAACTAGGGATTCAGATTACAATGCTTCAGTGATATATTGATATTTTAGTATCTTGTTTATAAAAAGAAATCACTTCTCTTCAGAGTTGTAGGGGGAGGAGAGGGAGTGGTTTGACTCTGACAGTCCAATCATTAAACAGTTGGGGGGGGGGGATGTCAGGATGAAGAAAACTGACATTATATACCAGTACCAGGAAAAAGCCAACTCAAAACTTGCTTCCAGAAAAACACTGGTGTAAAGGTGGTCTCAAAAGAACCAGAAAATAATCAGGGAAAAACAAAAAACCCAAAGTGAAAACTGAAGGCACAAAAATGCATGCAGAAATCAGGGGGTACATGAAACAGTATGGGACTAGAATTAAAAAAGAAAAACGGGGAAAGGCCCCATCACTTTACCCTTTTAATTAGGAGGTATAAAATGGCCACAGACTGAGGGACTAATTGCATGCTACACCCACTTGCAAACATAGTGTAATTAGTCACCATACTGTAGTGAATAGTTGTCAGACTAGGACTTGGGAGATCCAGGTTAAAATCCCCATTTAGCCATTAAGATTCCTGGGAGACACTGGGCCAGTCACATACTGTCAACCTAACACCACAGGATTGCTGGGACAATAAAAGGGGATTGATAACTGTTTGGTAGAACAGAAGCATAAAAATGTGATTGACAGCTATTGCCTGAGGAGTTGGGTTTGCAGCCTGAGTGCATGCCAGATCTGTGATGTAATCAAAATTTAGGATTTGTGCTCTAGCAAGCTACACAGCTTGGGCATGCCTGCAGGAGTCCTCTATGTTTTTCTGTTAAGGGAAACTCTCTGCATGTTTCCTAACACATACAAAAACATCACTGGCCCATAGAATGTGTGAATCAAATAGGTGGAAAGTCCTGCTTTGGTAGGAAGGGCGAGGTATAAATCGAATAAAATAAATAAATAAAATAAAGTCACTGTTCTTCAACAGAGTTGAGATATCAAGTTGACAAAAATAATAAACAGGATGAGCAATCAGATAGAAAAGCACGCATCCACAATAATGTTTTTACATGTGCCACCTTGGGGACCCTGATCTGGTGGAAAGAAGCACAAAAATATTTTAAATAAATAAATAACAAACATGTGGACAAGGGGGACCCAATAGATATTGTTTACCTTGACTTCCAGAAAGCTTTTGATAAAGTTTGATAAAGTAAGCTCAAATATCATAGGATAGAAGGACAAGTCCTTTTGTGGATCAAAAACTGGCTAATTAATAGAAAACAGAGAGTGAGTATAAATGGGCAATTTTCTCAGTGGAGGGTGGTAAGCAGTGGGGTACTGCAGGGATCAGTACTTGGTCCACTGCTTTTTAACTTATTCATTAATGATTTGGAGTTGGGAGTAAGCAGTGAAGTGGCTAAATTTGCGGATGATACGAAGTTGTTCAGGGTGGTGAAAACCAGTGAGGATTGTGAGGCACTCCAAAGGGATCTGTCAAGGATGGGCAAGTGGGCGTCAACATGGCAAATGGGGTTCAATGTGGCCAAGTGCAAGGTGATGCACATTGGAGCCAAAAATCCTAAATATAAATACACATTGATGGGGTCTGAACTGGCAGAGACTGAGCAAGAGAGAGATCTTGGAGTTGTAGTAGATA